GCCTGTGGACTGACCTGAAGTCCTACATAAAGCAAAGGCTTTCTGCCAAATGAATAAATCGTTTAACACAGTTTGGGGTCTAAGTTAGTCCTGAAATTTTATCTGGATTCTGGTGGTGCTGGGTATCCTCATATGTGTGCACAAGCCATCAGAATCATTAACTCTTCTTGGAGGCTGATTTGATTCCATAACCAACTATTTCTAGCACTAAGCCAGCTAAGAGTCATTGTCCTTACATTCCTTTTCCCTTGGAACCATGGTCACTAAGGTCTTTGGCTTGGGGACAGATAGCTAGGGAGCAGTTCTTTTATCCTAAGGTTTGCTTTCCCACTAAGTTAGTCTTCCCATTTCTTGTGTGAATTGGAATTTTAAAAGTAACCATGAACGTATATGTCCAAGTGTGAAATTTATGTGTGCCTCCAATAGTACTAATAAAGCCACATTTATATGGAGCTCACTGTGTATACAAGGCACTGTTTTTTGAGTCTTAAGTTTATGATTTGATTTAATCCTTACTATACACATGATTTAGGTGCTAGTATTATTTCTTTTATAGATAAGGAAACTGAGGCCCAGGAATGTTAAGTGCCCCTAATCAAGGCCATAAAGATAAAAGGAGTCAAAACTCTTTATGAGTAGAAATGCTAATTTGTGTTCTAATAGTAGTTTAGTAAGCAGTGTACCTGACTCTAGTGGAAGAATGAGGGAAAAGAGGTGTCCAACCCCAGAGAACTGAGGACCTCTAATCAGTGTCTGAGAAGGAGGGTGTCTCTTCACTGAGTGTCACAGTGACCTACAGCTGATAGAATAGTGAAACAAAGAGGGGCCTGTATTTCAGGGCTGAAAAATACTACAGAAGCAGAGCAGCAGGGGGGACATGATGAAGCCCAAATAAGGAACAAGTCACATTCCAAGGGCAGATGCCAATCCCTAGGCAGTCTCACATGGTCACACACTTAGGGACTCAAGCAGAAAGAGGACTCAAGCAGTGCTTTCTGTGAGCAGGGAAAAAACAGGCTGACTTGGGGCACTTGGCCAGAAGTTAAATGGAAGGATGTAGGCTGATGGAAGCAGATCTGAGAAGTCTTATTTATATTCTCTGTGCCCAGATGAAGGAAGAGGTACTTGAGGGCAGAACAGGGTGTGGCTTGATCATCTGTAATTTCCTGGGGGCTAGGACATACATAACTCAGCTAGTCCCACTCTGTCTCTACTTTGTGCAAAACATCCCCAACAGTGTTCAGTCCTTTGTATAATCTTGTATATTGAGTAGAAGACAGAATATCTTACATTCAACAATGTACAAAGAGTTCTTCATTAAAAGTAATTTGGTAATTTTAGAGATGGGAGACACTACCACTAGAAAATATGCTCCTGTAAGAGAAAATGATTCTAATTAATACTTAAATAGTGAGAATTGTGCTGGCATTAAGGACATTTAATATTAAACTAAAATGTTACTGCCTGCCGCTTCCTCTTCTCTTTAGGACATTAGCATAGGATTAAAAATTTTTAAATGAGATTTCAAACCCATGGTGAGCAGCTGTGTCTTCTATAACAAAAGACAATGCACTCATACATATGTATTATGTACCTAATTAAAACTGTTAGATTTTCATTTAAAAAGTTCTGATGATGTCCTGCATTTTTTATTGATTTGGCTCATTGGACTGCCACCAGTTTTCATATTTTAAGTGGACGAGGCGGGTTTGGGTGGGATAAACATTCCAAAGTCCATATAATTGGAGGGACTTGGCCTGAAGTAAGCTGAAAAATATGTCTATGGTTCTATTATTAGGTGTTCTGTTCTTCTATTTAACAAGGAGATATTCTTTTCTTCTGATTACTTCTTACTGCAAATGTAATGTAGTATAGTGATTTTAGAGAAAATAATAATGATCTATATTCTTGTTCCTCTGAGATAAAAATTAACTCTATTGCATTTTGTTTCTACAATTTTATTATATATTTTAGAAAGTTTGAATCATACCATATTAATAAATATGCATTTAAAATTTTTTATTTTTAAGTGGTTTCACATGCCATGAACACTTATTCAAAATAAGATTTTTCATGACTGCCTTATCATCATCATCATGATCAACATAGCCACAGAATATTTTGTCATCTGCTTTTATATATATTAAATTATAGGGGAGCTAGAGATGTGATTGAATTACATGGGGAAGAAGAAACAAGCAAAGTAGTATAAGATAAATTCTCAGAGGTTAAAATGAAATAAATTGATGATGTTTAGAAATGATTTTTAAAAATGCCTACAAGTCACAGTGTAACAGAGACATCTCCAAAAAAGGGGGCGGTATTATGTTCCCGCCCCACTTAACTCTGGGCGGACCTGAGCAGCAAGGTAGAGCATAAAACACATCGTGGCAAAGAGAGACAGGTGGAGAAGGGCTCACTTGCTTCTCCACCTTGAACTTGCACCAGGGACTTGGGGGACTTGGAGGAGCCACGTGGAAGAGAGACCTGTGGAGACATTTGGAGAAAACACGCGGGTAAGAGACTCTTGGGAGGCTGACAGCGGCTGCTGTTATCTTAATTTGTTCTGTGCTCTTCTACCCAATTACTATGGTTCCCTGCCTGAGGTGCTTTACATGTTTGGCAAGTTTTTTGAGCCTCAGCAGCCCTGTGTTGGGCCCACCCTGTTTGACTGGGCATTACCCATCAACAGATGGATAAATTTGGGTGTTTTATTGGAAAACTACTATCCTTTAATCCTATTAAAGTTCTTTTATAATAATTCTGCTTTGCTTTTGTGCACACATATGGCCAGATACTTTTAGTGTGTGCAAGTTAGGGGTCCCTGAGGTGCCCCTTGGTCTGTGCATTAACAACAGTATGATTAGGCAAGAGTCAGAAAAATTTAAAAGTCTGCTTTTGAAAATGGAAACTTATTTTAGCAATTTCAAATAAGTTTTTCTTAGAAGCAAGTTTTTTTCAAATAGGGTACTGATGATTTTCATTATAAATTCTCCTAAATTACTTGATTTTTAACCATCTGCATATATACTTCGGTTATAAAAATGGTGTAAATTAACTGGCAAAGAGTTACACATTAAGATTACCATCAGAATCTCACAACCAAAGAGGTATGTGTGTGAATATTCCTGAGAGAAGGAGAGCAGGGGAAGGCTGCTTCGGGAGTAGCAGGTAGGGCAAGAGGGACAGGGTGTGGTGCCTTTTGGGATAGATTGAGATCCCAGGGAGAGCTTGAAGAAGAAATCAGAGGGTCGAGGTGGAGGGGCAGTCAGTCAGCTAAATCAGATTATGCTAGTCTTGCCAAGAAGACTTCAAGTGGGATGTAGGATCCTAAGAGCAGAGAGCATTAGACTTGAAAAAAAGGACAGTTCTTGCAAATGTTACCATCATGAAGAAACAAAAGAATTTGTGTTCCTAGTAACGTCTATTTACCATTGACATGTAAGACCTCCTCAATATAAACTTCATAAGATGCAAAAGCCATTTTGCTGCAGTGTGATTTGTTATACATATAGCTAAAAATCACATTTCCAAGCTTAAATGATTGGAAAGGGGAAAAGATAGCTTAGTTTTCCTGGAGTAAATTGTGAGTTAAAATCAAGAAGCAACTTTAATCCAATGCAATCTGGGAGGTGTCAGAAGTCACCTTTGCTTATTTTGCCCCTCCCCCTTTCTTTCTAAATGGAATTGTGCTATTGTTGAGTTTGATTGCAAGTTTAGATAGGAAGCTAGAAAATTTGAGGAAGGCAACTACTTTGTTAATTTTATTTTTAACATTTCGAGCTATTTACAATATGCTAGGATCTCTGTCAGCTGCTGGTTTACAGAAGTTGATGAAACGCAGTCCCCTCCTGAAACCGGCCATTGCAGTAGAGCCAGAGGAGCAATTTTGCCATGGCAGCAGAACTCTGAACAGCCGAGCCTGGCTAGCGTTTCTCTTAATTTATATGTATATTATAAAATACCAAAAATACAACCATTTCTTATGGAATGAGTAAAGGAAAAATATGTAAAAAAGAAAAGTTGAAGGTATTTTTTTATTGTTAAGGATTCATTAGACTGCGACAAATCAAGTTTTGGATCCCTAATTGCATTTGCTTAAAGGAAAAATTGAGACCAGGACGGCGTACTTATTTTCTGTTGTGCTTGAGCTTTTAAATTTTCAGACAAGAGTCTCCTTGTTCTTTTCTCCTTCAAATGAATAGTATTTCCCACTTACCTATAGTTGATTTCTCTGCTTCTCTCCTTCCTTCTTCTAGCAGTTTCCCTACTGTTCTTCCTCCGTTTTATTTCTCTTTTGAAACATTTTCCGTCCACACGCTCAGCCTTACCATAACCAGTAGCCACTAAACAGCCTTAGCATTTCAACAATCAAACCTAGTTGGAAGACTAGGTTTTGGAAGACTAGATCCTAGCATATTGTAAATAGCTCAAAATGTTAAAAATAAAATTAACAAAGTAGTTGCCTTCCTCAAATTTTCTAGCTTCCTATCTAAACTTGCAATCAAACTCAACAATAGCACAATTCCATTTAGAAAGAAAGGGGGGAGGGGCACAGATAAGCAAAGGTGACTTCTGACACCTCCCAGATTGCATTGGATTGAAGTTGCTTCTTGATTTTAACTCACAATTTACTCCAGGAAAACTAAGTTATCTTTTTCCCTTTCCAATCATTTGAACTTGGAAGACTAGAGACACTGGAAACTGGACGGGCCATGGGCAATTCTGTGAGGGGGGCAGGTCGGGTTCTGCCTGACCAGGGCAAAGTAACAGGCCCCGAAGTTGTCCACATCTCACCGTCCGGCACTTGTGACGGTTCAGACAGTCGGGCCGAGAACTGAGGATCCAGGTGGTGTTAAGTCTCTAATCTGCTGACCTTGAGCTGGGGGAGGGGCTGGGGTGTCCAGGTGTGCGCAGCCCAATCCCAGCAGCCCTTAAAAGTGGAGGCGGGAGGGGAGGGGGGGGTTGGAGAGATGGCGGCTGGGGAGGGCTCCGGTGAATGCTGCTGACTTTGAGGATGAAGAAAGCGGGTCAGGAGGCCAGTTGTGAGGTCCCCGGAAGTCTGAAAAGGTAAGAAAATCCATTCTCTCCCAGCGCTTCAAGAGGGTAGCCTGGCCCTGCGGGTTTCAACATTTTGTTTCGAGCCTGGAAGGACCTGTGTTGGCCATCCGCCCTCTAGGACTGGTTGCTGTATTGGTTGCATTACTGTGTTTGTGGCACTGTTATAGGGCAGCCCCAATACAAAACGGGGTGCCGAACATCCTTTCCCCCAACAGCACCTCTGATAAGCAGATGTAGAAATTAACAGATGCCATCTCACTTTGCAAAAGTTTGGAGAAAGGATGCAGCTGAAGTTTGTTCCTGGCCAGGGACCCGAGACCCAGTAGGATCAGAAGTGATTTTAAGAGTTCGCTGAGCACAGTTGATTCTAATTCGGGCGGATCCTTCCTGAGGGGGAACAGGTGTTGCAATGGGCCTCTCCAAGGGTGAATCTAGAGGTGTGAGTACTGCAGCATAGTCTGAACAAAAAAGTTCCATGCTCTGGAAAAAAACTATATGCGACATGTACTGTGTGTAAATGCATTTATAACTTGTGTTTGTGTGTGTACCGTGTGGGGAGGACAAAGTTTTCCTACATTTGAGTTCTTGGCTGAGACCCCTGTAATAAAAGATGAATTAGCAAGAAAATTAACACAAAAGGCTGTTTTCATGAACCTCAAGTATACGAGGCTGATATCCAAGGAAGGTCGGAAAAATGAGTACGTCCCCAAAGTGGGCTAGAATTTAGGCTTAAATCCCACCTTGATAGGCCATGGCGAAGAGGGATGCAGGTCTCTTAAAGGAGAGTAAATGTTTTTTAGGAAACGTGTGTATCATACCTCCCATTTATTTAAAGTTTCTTTCATAGTTAGGTTTTCCACTTTCACTGAATGTCTAAAAGTTTTGGATAATATTCAAGATGGCTGTTTTTTGTATTTTTTTTCTCCATGCAAATATTTCAAGGGTAGAGGGATTCTCGACCCCAGGTGTTTTGTTTTAATGAGTCAAATGAGAAGGCAGCCTCCCGGGACAGTAGCAGAAGTCATACTTGCTCTACCTGAATCGGCCAACACAGCTCCTGAACCGGCTGGATATTTGAGCTTTCCCAAAACATATGGATAATAACAGTAGAGGAAGAGGATGTATCTTTAGTGTTTTTTTTTTTTTTTAAGTTATTTATTTATGCATACAAAAACTGGGATATAGGCCAGAGATGTGGGGAGGTAAGAAGATTCACCAGAGACAGAGTGGGGAACAGAACAGGCAGATCTACTGAAGTACACTGCTGAGGGGAGCAGCCAGTGAGATAGGAGAGGTCTGCTGTGCTGTGTGGGTTGCTCCCTGGCTGCCAGGGATGGAACTCAGCTGCAGAGGCTGCGGATTGCTTCATAGTGCTATGTTTAACATCTTGTGCCGCCAGGGAGGCCCTATTCATAGGTGTGTCCTGAGGCCTACAGAAAAAATACCTAGAGCAATGAGTAAAATATGTAACTGTTGCCAACATTTTTAAGACTCAGATTATAAATCAAGATTTTGACAAGGGGGAGAAGCACTCTTAAATTTCACTGCCTTTATAGTAGGCTTGTGGTTTACTGAATTATGCTTAACAAGTTTTATAATTCAACTTGGAATCAAGTTAACCATTTTTTTTTTTTTTTTTGTAAAGCTGGCCTTATATATGATAGTATTTCTTAACTCTGGGTCATTTGCAATCGTCATACAACTGATATTTCTTAGGGATAGAAATGATTATTGCCCTGTAAGACCAGAAAAAATAATACCCTCAAAATGAGATAAATTTAGGTAGAGACATTCATGATATATATTTTGAGTAAATTACAGTTCTCCAATCATTTTCCCTGTGAACGTGAGTAGAGAGATTATGCTTTTCTTCAACTGACTGGATCCACTGTGAATGCTGTGGTTTCATTAATTCACTATGTAGCAAAACCATTTCCAGAACACAGTGGTCTGTTCTCTTTTGGATGTATTCATATGTTCCAGGAAACTGTTGGAAGGGCCTCTATGTCATCAATGAAGTCCTGAAAATCTCTAGCATACTGATAAGAAGGAATAATGATGGGAAAATCAGCCTGAACTTTAATGATTTGCTTATCTGCCTCTGCCCTCAGCATTTCTTCATAGCTAAATTTATTAATTTCCCCCCCTTACCCAAACTCTAGTTTACCTTGAGACTGAAGGCCAAAGCTTTTGTCTAGTTCTTAGAAACTATAATAAATAGAGGAAGTCTGTAGCCTCAGCCTAACTCCTAGGTGGGTACTGGGATGAAGTCATGATTCCCCACAGCTCAGCAATAATTGTGGGTTTGCTTTTACTCTTGATTCTCTCCAGTGCTCTAAACATTGCTAATATAGAGGTCAGTAATACTAGTCAAGGTCCTCTGGCTTTTCTTCCCTGAGTTGGATCAAATTAATGTATCTCTCATATATTCACTAATCCAACAAATATATATTGAACACTTCTTATTTTCTAGGCGATCTATTTTGCTCCTGGAGAGAGCTTTAGTTTCAACAAATTTTCTGCTTGGAGATCTTAGTTGGGGAAAATGAAATAAACTTAATATAAATTCTAGTGGAGACAAATGCTATGAAAGAAAATAAGCAGAGTTTTGATTATGATGGGAATAGGAGTAGAGATGAAAGATGTTTTGAATCTAGTAATCAGGAAAGACCTAAGAGAGCAAATCTGCATCTGTAGAAAAAGGATATTAGAGGCTAAAGGTCTAGGAATACAAAGCATAAGACAGATATAGATACTCCTGAAATGAGAAAAGGCCAATGTGGCTAGAGCAGATTAAATGAGATGTAGAGAGGTAAAAGTAGGGAGGGACCAAATTATGTAGGCTCCTTATAGGCTCTGATGAAATGTTCAGATTTTATTATAATTGTGATGGCAAGTTATTGAATGGTTTTGAGCCAAGATGTGACTTGATATCACCTGTGTTTTAGAGGATCTTTCTGCATTGTGGACAAAAATCTATAGTAAAATAATTTAAAAGGCAATAGCTATGGTCAAGTTAAAAAGCAGGCTCAATTAGAGTGATAAATGATCAAAATTTTAATATGTTTAGGAAAGGGATAGTACCTTTGAATCCTTGTCTGTTTCTTACTAGACTTTAAATAACTTCAAATTTTCCCAATAGAGTTTATTTGTACCTGAACTTTTTAGTTAGTTATCCTTGCTGGCTGTCAACTTTTCAGTTTCATTAACCTCTGCCTACATATGCCGCCCCCCTCTCTATTTTTCCTAGTGGGAGTGTGGTCTACATTTGTACTTGGACTTTTTGAATGTCCTTGTCAATATCAAACTTGAAACCTCTTTGATCTCAAGCTACTAACTGTTCACTACTTTTCACCTGTGAGGGAGTCTCCTATAGTCCTTACTAACACTGTATTCCCACCAATCCTGAACTTGAACCTGTGAAAGTCATGAAAATCACAGTAAAAATATTAGTGTGTGTGTAAGTGCCATAAAATAATAACCAAATGTAATAAGTATTGTAAGTATTGTTTACCTCTTAATAAGTAAGTATTAATACCTCTTAGTCCTTCCAATTTTCATGATTATCAGAACCATTTTCAGATGCTACCATTTCTCACATGGAACCACCTTACTTTTTTTACTTCATTTTGTCTTGCCTCAAATCATTCTTCATATAGCTACCAAAATGATCTTTTTAAACTGAAGAGCTGATTCTGACAGTTACTGCTTAAAGTACTTTATGGTTTCAGTTTCTATAATCTCATTTCTCCTTCACCCCTCCCATCTCACTACTGTTACGGTGATTGAGCTCTCACACTCTAGCCTGAGTCATGCTTTGTGGTTAGTTTGCCTCTTTACCTCCTTTCCTCAACTTGGTTAAGGCATATGAGTTTATTGGCCATCTTCCCACTCAGCAACTCTTAGCAGCCATGCTTGAGGGACCAGAACATATTCAGGAATTGTTGGGGTACAACAGGCAAGAATAGAATTCCAGTTTTATAGTTCTAGGGGCCAGGTTACATTTCTAGGTCTAAGGGACAAATCTGCAACAAAAGTACTAATCATAGGGCCAAAAAAGAGAGATGAATGCTGGAAAAAGAAGATAAACTCTTTATGAGGTATCTGCAATTGAGTTCAAATCTAATAAATCTCATGTGGAATTTGAAGAAGTGTAAAGAAGGAAATTAATGGTTGTGTGCATAATATCTGTTTTACTGCCTACACCTAGATCCAGATGGCACTCATTGTAGCTCACTAGTGCTAACATTATGTTAATGTTATTAAGATAAAATGTTACCTGATTTTCATTTTAAAATTTGCTTTATTCTGGATGTTCAGAAACCTTTACAGATTTCTAATCATGAACTGTAGGTTACTTTGTTTACTAGTCTATTCAGTTATTCTTATGTATCATGTCATTATGTCATGCAATTTTCAAAATTGTGGTTTTCTACTTTTCTAAAAAGTACCCCGTTCACTTATTGGAAGAAACTGAAGTAGAAACATTCCACATACCTTGGCAACAGATGTTATCTCCTGCTGTATTCCTTGAATCGCTCAGTAAATATGGTGTCCAGGAAGGTGAAATATTTCAGCCAAATTTCCATCCAAGAGCCAGCTGTTTATGCAGTTTTGGGGGAAAAAAAAGATGCCACTCAGTCTCTTTTTTCAGTTACAGTATTCTGTAACATGCTTTATGATGCTACACATATTTGCTTTTCTTTCAGAGCAGTAAATAAAATGCATGCAGTTTCCTCAGCATTTTGTGTTTCTCTATTCTTTGATAAAAAGTAAACATTATTTGGATGGGAATAGAGTAAATCTAGGTAGGCTTGTAGGTTTTGGAAAACTGTAAACCTATGTAATAGCAAGAAAGAGACCATTAAAATAATTGTTCCATTAATTTTTTTCTGCCTTTTAGTCCCCCCCCCCCCCCAAAATGATTCCTTTCGTTCTGACTTTCCAGTTCAGATTGTAACCTGCTCTGGGGAAGAGAAAGGAATGTAAGTGTTGATTACATGTCATTT